TTTTGGTGCTTTTAAGAATAGCCTCTGTATCTGGTTTTCAGCATTTTGACTATGATATGCCTAGGGGTGAATGTGTGTGGGGGGCAGTGTGTGTGTTTTATGTTACTTGGGGCTTGCTGAGATTCTTGTTTTTAATCAAATTTTGAAAATTGCCTTCCGTTATTTTTCTGCCATAGTCTCTCTCTTTTCTCCCTTGTGACCCCAAATACATGCATGTTAGTGTAACTGCTTGATATTGAACCACAGGTCATTGAGGCTCTGATGATTTTTTCCCCCCACTTTTTTTTCCCTCTGTGCTTCATTTTGGGTAATTTCTATTGACCTCTCTTCAAGTTCATGAATCTTTTCTTCTGCACTGCCTAATCTGCTATTTATCTTATTCAATGATTTTTATTTTATTTATTTATTTATTTTTTAAAAGATGACCGGTAAGGGGATCTCAACCCTTGGCTTGGTGTTGTCAGCACCACGCTCAGCCAGTGAGCAAACCGGCCATCCCTATATGGGATCCGAACCCGTGGCCTTGGTGTTATCAGCACCGCACTCTACCGAGTGAGCCACGGGCCGGCCTTCAATGATTTTTAAAATGTCAGATATTGCATTATTTCAGTGCTAAGATTTCCACTGAGTTCATTTTTGGAGTTTCCATACCTCTTCTAAAATTCAGATTTCCCATATCTTTACCCATTATACCCATTTTTCCCTGTGAATTCATTAACATATTGATAATAAATCCTTATTTGGTAATTCCAACATGTGGGCTCTCTGTGGGTTTGCTTCTGTTAACTGTTTTCTTCTTGATAAGTGTCATGTTTTGCTGCTTCTTCACAAGTCTAGTATTATTTGATTGTATACTGGATAGTGTGGGTGGTAGTTGTACAAACTCTGGATTCTCTTGTCTTCCTTTGAAGAATGTGGAATCTTGTTCTGGCATCCAGTTCCCACTGATGCTTGAAAGGCTTGGTTTTAGGCTTTGTTAGGGTAGGCCTATTTCAGTTTTGCCCTTAGTCCTGGGAAATGGTCTTTATTCCTATGGTGTGGACCTTTGGGGTTTCAATGAAAAGCTCCTCTAAGTTGGTGGACCTTGAACTCTTTATTTTTTATTTTTATTTTTTTGTGGCTGGCTGGTCCTGGGATCTGAACCCTTGACCTTGGTGTTGTCAGCACCATGCTCTACCAACTGAGCTAACCAGTCAGCCCCTGGACCTTGAACTCTTAATCTGTTTCTCAACACTGGCTGTGTTAGTCTGTTCTCTGTTGCTTATAATACCTGAAACTGGGTAATATACAAAGAAACAAAATTTATTTCTTACAGTTTTAAAGGCTGGGAAGTCCAAGGGTCAGGGGGCACATCTGGTAAGGGCCTTCTTCTTGGTGGGAACTCTACACTGTCCTGTGGCAACCAGGGTATCACATGTTATGTGCTCACTTGCTTTCCTTATAAAGCCACCAGTCACCTCCCTGATAACCCATTAAACCATTAACCCATAAATGGATCAATCCATTCACAAGGGCATAGTCCTCACTGTCCAATTTACTTCTTAAAGGCTCCACCTTTCAAATACCACATTGGGGATTAAGTTCCAACATGAGCTTAGGAAGACATCCAGACCGCAGCATGGGCAACTGCTGAAATCTCTGCTTAGGTCTTTTGGCCTTCAGTTCTTGCCTTCCCCTTGGGCTCCTTGGAGTCACCCTGCACATATGCACTTCAGGACTCAACCAAGGATTTAAGGAGTCTGTGTGATAATTTTGCAGCTCCCTCTGTTCCATGTTTTCCCTCCTTGATTTCCAGCCCCCGTGGCAGCTACAAATGCGACCTCTAAGTTGTTAGCTTACATTCTGCTTGAGCTCTGTTCCCTATATGATGCATGAACTTGAAAATGCCCTGAGAGGAAAAGTCAGTTAAATGTGGATCTCACCTAGTTTCCTTCTTTTAAGGGTTGCATCCACTCTGGTTGTCTGTTCTGGTTGTTCTCCAGTGCTTTTAAACAACTAAAAAAATATTTTGTCTAGAGTGTACAGCAGCTATCAGCAGGAATGTTAGTCTGATATAAGCTACTCTGCCATTATTGCAAGCAGAACTTACCCAAATATGTTATTCCAAAAAACAGTTTTTTGGTGCCCTGCTTTTCTGGCTCACTAAACATATATTTAGTTTTCCTATTGGGTAAACCAATACTGGAGTTTTGCTGTCTGTTCTGAGAATTTACTTGACTTAATTTAAATTTCACTAAATAATTCAGTAAATTAGTTATTGTTCCTCGTGGCTATCAAAGTTTCAGAGGCTGAAAATAGGTCTCTAAAAGTGACAACGTCTCAAGTGTTTAATTAAAGTTTAAATAAATCTTAATCTATTTTCTGAAATAGATAACAACTTCACATTGTTCAAAATTTAAAAGGTAAAAAGGATATACTATGAAAAGCTTCACTTTTGCCCCTTTTTCTATTTTCATTTTAACTTCTCAATATACATTGTAGTTGATTTTTGTGACCCTTCACCCATTCCTCTTCCCGCCTCTCTCTTCCCCCATCATTGTATCTGTTCACTTGTCTTAACAAGTTCAAGGAATTGTTGTGATTGCTGTGTCTTCTCCCCCCCCCCC